CAGCAGCAAATATGGTTTTAAAGCCACTGTGCCACTGCAAGCTCCACACAGCCCTGGTCACTGTTTACTTCAAGCTGAAAATCTTCCTGGCAAGAAAACTCTGCTGAGTTTTCCACTGAGGGAAGAGCACCTGACTCTCTCCCACCCCGTGACAATTTGAGGGATATCCCTAAGCACTTGCATCTCAAAGATTCTCTGTGAGCTGGGCATGGTGGCCCATGCCTGTGATCACAGCACTTCGGAGGCCAAAGCAGAAGGTTCATCATGAGTTTGAGGCCAGCCTGGACTACATAGTGAGTTCAAGGCCAGCCTAAACTACATAGCAAGACCCTGTCTCAAAAAAACAAATGAAAAGCTCTTCTGTGCTCCTCTGCATCAAAGCCAGGAGCTCCCTTTAATATGGGACACAGACACAGCAGGCATTATTTCAATCACTTTTGTCTTCTCCCCTGGTAAATCCTGGGTGTTGTTTCAGTGTTTCTGCTTGCTGTTGTATCTGGCGTTGGCCAGGAAGACCGACCCTGCTAAACTCTTTGGTCACTGGTCATGGCCCTCATGGATGAAGCAAGGACCTCTCCAGGTCTCTTCAGGAAGGCACGCTCTTGAGACATCTTGAGTCCCCTCAGAGGTCTGGAGGAGGATTCCTGGCTCCCTGCTCAAGTGGCTCACATCAGACCCCAGTGGGAGGAGGATGCAATCTGTCTGTCCATCTGTCTGTCTGTCTGCTTGTCTGCTTGATTCCGTTAAGGCCCCTGGGAGTACCCCAATTAGTCAGTCTGTCAGTCCTGCTCAGTTAGAGCAAAAGAAAAGGTTGATCACGTTTTGTTAGTTAAGGCCACCCTCAAGAGAAGGGGGTTGGAATGTTTAACCTCTGACTGCCTTTCTGAATGAATACTCAGTAGAGTAGAATGGATAGCATAAGCAATAGACTGCTCCGTCTTTGCACCAAGACTGGGAAGCACTGGTTGCGGTGGCTAATTGGGATCTCAAACGCAGATCCATGGAGATCAACATACGGCATAACAGCGGCCTTGCACCCTCCTTAGCTGAGTCGCACCTAAATCCCCACAAGGGGCGTGGCTAGGTGAGCATCTAAATGGCCTCTCTCTGAGGGGCACCTACCATGTGTCTGCTGTGCCATCATTCAAGGGTACACAACATACCCTATAGGGAGATAAAATGCAAACTGATTGGTTAAAACCCACAGTCCCTGACTGTAGGAAAAGGGGCTTCTATGGAGTTAAAAAAAATGAAACCAAAATGTTCCCTGCATCTCAAAGAAAAAAAAAAAGGGAAAAGAAGTCCATTTTTCCTGAGAATTCCATTTTGGCACCCTTGTCAGCTGCCACAGTTGCTGCCAGTACCTATAGCTTCACTCCCTGCTCCCGACTCATCTACTTCCAGCCAATTTAACTGGTTCCAGCTGGTCATTGCCTGCATGTGGCCCCAGAGGGCCTCCCTCCAGAATCTTCTGCTTATATGCCTATCCTGGTCAGATGGCATCATTTAATACCCACCCAAGATGACTGTCAACAATCTCTTCTGGGTTCCATATTTTGACTCAGGAAAAATTGGACCGTCAGCCCTGATGAATGAGTTGCCATGGTCTTTCCAAAGGTCACCTTGCCTAGAAACAACCCAGCAGAGCACTTCTCAAAGACACCGAAAAGCAGGACAAAAAGCCCATCAACTACTGTTACCCAGAAACCTGATAAAAAGCACCTGATGTCTGTAAGAAAATCCAGTCTGATAAGCCACCATACCCTTTGGCTATGAATTATAAGGACCATGGACACTAAAAAAAATAAGTAAATAAAAAGATAAGAACTCTCAAAAGTTCCCTCTGTCCAAAGGTTCAACTGGGAAAATCCTGAGACAAAAGGGCAGCTCTGGCAAGCACAAGGTTGTGAGTTCGATTTCTGGTACAGGAAAACAAAAAACAAACAACAACAACAACAAAAAACAAAAAGCTCTCAAGGGCAGCTCATTTGGAATCATTTGCCACAAGGGGTTAAGAACTCTCCCACCTTGGCTCTGCACCTACGTCCTGCACAACAAGAAAGCCACTCCAGTCATCCAAACAAGCCCAGAAGGCCATCTGAGAGGCTCTCAGATTCAGCCCAAGCCAGAAAAGCTTTACCCTGTTCTGCCTGAGGACCCCAAGTTCAACTTGCCTCCTCCTTATATTCATCATCCCCGGGCTGCTCAGCCATCCACAACACTGTCACTGCCAGTTCTATCTCCAGTACCACACCCTCCCACACTCCAAGATTATTTCATTTAGACTCAATTTCCATAAGGGGTTAAGAACTCTTCCACCTTGGCTCTGCACCTGTGTAGCCACCTGCCAACATGAGACAACTGTCAGCAACTCCTTCTGGCTCTATTTAATGCTGAAGAATACTGCCGTATTTCAGACTCCGGTTGCTGTCAGATGTCATGGGAAGCATAAACAGGCATCCAGCCACACATCAGCCTGATAGACTATTCAGTTCCTTCTGACTTTGTTTAATGCTGAAGAATGCTGCTGCACTTTAGATGAGGCCAAAGACTGGTTAAAGTCAAAAGTCCCCATTATAGTGGTTGATCCTGATGCTTGGGTGAACACAGTCTTCTCCCAAGTATGTCCAAGCTGGGATTGTAATGCTACAACAGGTATGAAGCCTTAGATCAATACTGCAGCACTGTCCTGGCATACCTCAAAGAGGGAGGCAAGAAGCCAATAAACATGTGTAAAGTTACTGGCAGTGGCATCATCCTGAGACAGATAACTGCAATCCTGAAGTTCTAAAAACTCTCCTCCCAAAGGTATAAACTAAAGACTCACCTCCAGGCCTGGCCATTTTTGCTGTCCACCAGCAACAACATAGCCATCACCTTACAGTCTATGGTTTCTAACCCATGCTGCAAGGGTTTGGGAACTGTCCCACTATTTGGGAGGAGGCTCTAACAACATATTTGGCCAAGCCACCAGCACCGGAACCTTTCTCTGAGGTTTCTCTGTCCCTTCCAGCTCTGTCACAGTCCCCTGAGCAAACAGTATAGCCTGTCAAGCTGCTAAAATATATCTCTCCTGCCAGTAAAGCTATTTCAAGGTCTCTGAGCTGCCAATGCTGCTGTGATTGCCCTCACTCTTTTGGATTGTTCTGGCTTCTACATGCTTACTCAGACTATCAGTCCCTGGGAGTGATCAGCAGCCTCTAAGGGCTACCTCCCCTCTTTGCCTCTGCACTCTAATAGCTACTGTCCTTCTGATCAAGAAAACTGACAAGCTCAAATTAGACCAACATCTAACTGTCCAGGTGCCACAGCTGTACTGGGATGAACTGTTCTTAAAAAACTGACCCCCTGACAGATGCTGAGTACACCCTGTTTACACATGGAAGTAGCTCTGTTAGAAATGAAGTCAACAGACTAGATATGCTGTGGTCACCTTGGACAAAATTATTTTGGCCAAAACTCTCCTGCAGGAATGATCTTCACAGCACATTGCTGTTTGGAAACCTGCCAACAATTATGCAAAATAATGTGATCCAGAGGCCTAAGCCCCTTGTGGGGTTCCAACTGACTGAAACATCAACCCCAGCCACTAGACCTGCCCCTACCATATGTTTGACAAGCTCAGGCTGTTGCACTGGCACCTGTACTCCTGCAGCCAGCTCAGGCTTTAGCATCTATGTCACCAGCCCCAACCTCCCATTCCCTACCTGTACTGAGAAGATAGTAAAAATTTGTAGGGTCCCACTATGAAAAATCATCCCTAGATAAAGCCTAACCTTGATCACTGGCAGCAACAATGGGCTTGCATTTGTAGCAGAGGTAATTCAAAAACTATGTCAAAGAAAACTACATACAGCTTGTGACCAGTTAAAAGCCAAGCTATATCTATACACATTCCTGCACACACATATAAGCCAGGTACATTTTTTTTTTTTTTTTTGGTTTTTCTCCGGTACTGGGAACTGAACTCACGACCTTGCTTGCCAGGCAGGCGCTTTTGCCGCTGAGCTAAATCCCCAGCCCGCCAGGTACATATTAACTACCCCTACAAGTTTCAGAAATCCAGCCTTAGATCCACTAAAAAATGGATAGCTCCTCCAAGGCTCACTCTGAAGAGACCCCCCCGCCACACACACATGACTGAAGCTTGAGGACATCATTCACAGGATTGCTTCATACCTATTCCGCTTGATTTTTATGTCTTTTCAGGCTGCTTATCCCAGTCCTTGCTTCCTTGTGCCCCTGCTAGCTGTGGTTTTTGTTATTTGACCTGGATTCTGCTTACCCTAGTCCTTGCTTCCCCAACTATCAGTTTCTCTATGGACAGTTGTCCCAAGAGAACAGAATAATCAATCAAACACTCGACCAATATTTGATGAGCATCCAAGACACAGTGGACACTCTCCTAGATCAGATTAACTCCCTCACAACCTTTCCAGAGTAATGTTACAAACAGACAGGCTTAAATTCTAGTTGGGCCTCATCTAAAAAGAGCACATGTAACAAGCCCAGCAAAGATTTGCCAGGGAAACTAAAAGAAGGGGGAAATGTACTAGAAAATGCCCCACCCTGACCTGCATGCTTCAGTTTGTTAGTTGCCCAGGTAATAGTTCCTGTTCCAGTTTCAGTTGCTCCTGTCTCTTAGAAATGGCTGGTTACTGTGATGCACAGCTGGTCACTATGATGCACATTGTATAAACCAATCCCCAATTAACAAGCCATTCTTCCACTGTACTTCCTGCTTGCTTATTCCATATAAGCCTTAGACCAGCAAGATCAGGGCCTGACATTCTGGGATTGATCCTGATCAGTGCCCATCAATGTACATAAATCTGCCTCCAAATCCTGGATGTTGTTTTAGTGTTTCTGCTTGCCCTCGAACCTTAAGAAGATAGTTTAAGGGCTGGGAATTTAGCTCAGCGGCAAAGCGCCTGCCTGGCAAGTGCAAGGTCGTGAGTTCGGTTCCCGGTACCGGAGAAAAACCAAAAAAAAAAAAAGAAGATAGTTTAAACTTTATTTATATCTCATATATTAAACATAAGTCTAAGAGTCCAGAGAAATTTGTCAATAGTTCTGGAATCATAGGCCAGTGTCTTCCCTTTAAGCCTCAGTGTCCTTATCTGTGGGGTGATTTTTACTGGTGCCCTGTGATCTTCTGCACAGGAACAAATCCCTGTCATTGCTGTTTCTCAGCTCTCCTTGCCCAGCAATCAGGACATTTCTATGAGGCTGTGATTTACAAAGCTATCTGCAGGTATTCTCTAATGTGAACCATGTCATTTCCTAGAGTCACATAGGACTGGGGAGTGGCATCCTCCACACACACAGCTGGGAGGTAGCAGGGCAAAGATGAAAGAGATAGTGGGACAGGCTTCCCACTGGTCCAGCGGATCCCTGGTTCCTTCTTATCCCCAGTGAAGCTGGCTGGGCTCAGGGCATGGGAGGGACAGCCTGCTGGGAGCTCAGCTGTCTGTTGGTCCCCACTGAGGCAGCAGACTGTGGGGGACATGGGCTAAGAAGGTGGTTCTTAGGCTTCTTGACCACGCTGTACTCTGGTTCCTCCTCCTGGGGTCTCTGGGAGAAAACCCCATTGGCATTAGAGTTCTGCTTCTGTGAATCAAACACCACTGAGCTGTAGTGAAGATCTTCCTCGGCGGTGGCCTGCAAAGAGACCAAAGGCTCAGGAGGAGGTGGGGAAGCACAGATCCCCAGCTCAGGATGGAGGCACCACCCAAAGAAGCCTTCACTGTGGGGGCTGCAGCTTTCCCACTGTCCTGGCCTCTTCCTCTTGCCTGGACTCAGATCAGCCATTCTGCCCACCCACCTGCTCTACCTACCTGGTCAAGCTACAGCTCAGAATCCCTGGGGAACCATGTGGTCCCTGGGATGCTCAAGGCCAACCTAGCCAGGTCTGTTCTACAAGGAGGAGACTGAGACCCCAAGAAGTTTGGGGCTACTGAGATACATCTCTATTCTCCCCTGAAAGGACTGTCCTGGCTGTGAAAACAAAGCAGGTCCTTTTGAAGGACACAAAAGCAGCTTTGCAGGACCCTGGCCATCTAGATAGAGTTTGAATGACTTCAAGGTGCTGCGAACAGAGGTTCTGACTTGATCCAAAGGGGCTGACTGAAGGGTAAGACTGTGTGTGCTCCTGATCCACTTTGAGATCATCAGTTGCTGAGTTAGACAAGCAAGTATTGTTGGTCCCAGGCCCATGTGGCCATGTGGACCTAAGAACATGTCATGTGAAGAAGAAGTAGGGGTTCAGACATGTGGCCAGGAGCCATCAAGTGTAAACAGAAGCTCAGACAGCCTGGCGTGAAACCACCTCACCCTTCTGCAGACACCCGGCAGCTCAGAGAGGTACATGGTTTTCAGGGACATGGAAATGATGTAGAACAGGATCCTCTGCATGGTTCAGGAACAGCAGCCTGGGTAAATAGTGCCAGGTTGGGCACATTCCAGGGAGCTGGGCAGTTTTGTGGAGCAGACCAGCAACAGCGTCACCCACTCCCTGCCACCATCCCTCCATGGCCTCACTCGTGTATCCAAGATAGGCTCATGGGGTTCACGGGCTGAGGGTGGGGCTGGGAGGTGCCTGAGGCAGCCCTTTCCTGGTGCTTACATCTCTCCCCAGCCTGTTTGAAGCCCTACCCACTAGAGAATGGGTCACACCAGGGCAGGAGACCAGGGTGCAGTCTATTCCTTGCTCCTGTTTTAAGGTGACAGCATCCAGGAGGTAACGGACAAAATCCGGAAAGGTAAAGTTGATACCAAAAAGATGATGGGCCCAATACAGGACAGAGTGCCAACTTTAACCCTGGGTGTGTGGCATATAGTAGGTGTGTCATAAATGCTCTACTTTATTGATGCCTGGGCCATAGTCACTGGCCACCCCAAAGCACTCCCATCCTCCCACCTCCAGCCACAGTGACACCAAGCCCTTCCAAAGACCTTGACTCTGGCAAAACCTACACGTGCCCTTCTGTGGATGGCTGTCCTGGAGCCAGTCCCTCCCTTCCTTCTATGGCCACTCCCACTTCCCAGGTGGTGCCACCCACATAGGCCAGGGTCCCTGTGGGACCCTAGCACTCGCACTTACCACTGTGCTGTACTCCACGTCCACCTGCCTCGGCGTCGCTGGCTCTTCCCGCAGTGACCATGTGTGCAGTTGCAGGTTTGCGTAGTGAGGCTCACACTGCTCAACGGCCTGTGGTGGGAGGGAGACATCCAGGGAGGCTCTTCCCCCTCCCCTGGCCCTGCCTCTCTGTAGACACGCCTATGCTGTGGGTGTCTAGCCCCATCCTTCCCTCAGTGTCTCTCTAGGCAATGAGTGCTCCCTAATCAGCCCACCTGGGAAGATCCACCTCCTGCCATAGCCTCCCTTACCTGCCTGGGGTTCCGGCCTGGCCTTGAATGCTCACCACCTAAAGACAAATGGAGGAGAGGGAGGTGGAACCACTGAGCCAGGGCAGGAGTGGGACCCCTATGTGCCAGATGACAGCAGGCAGGAGGCAGCAGAGGAAGGAGGCCCTGGCTTTGCAAAGACCTAAGCCATGAGGAGTTTCTAGGAGCATCTGCTCAACTCCTGAGCCTGGAACCTGTCCCTCACAGACAGCCACCTGCCTGCTGCCCTGGAGAAAAGAGGGCCTCGCCTTCCTGCACAGCTCTGTACATCCTGACCCTTTCAATCTAGGGACCCAGGAGCTGTGAGAAGCATCTAACTCACACACAGCCTGATGCCCTTGGTCTGGATCAATGGCCAGGGAACCTAGAGCCCACTGCCCTGCATGTCACAGAGACACACCCTTCCAGGCAAAGCTGCAAGAGGAAAAGCCCAAAGTTTGTGGACAGAAGTCCACAAACAGCCAATGTGCTTGCTGAGCCTCCTCCTGGTGGAAGAGAATAGCAATGGGGTGCTCTGGGATGGAAACACATTGGTTCCCAACATGGTGTGTGGACTCCACCCCACAGCTGGACAGGTGCTTCATGGGAAGTGGGGAAGGGTGGTGCGGAAGCAAAGGTTCAGGGTAGGGAAGAAGGTAGCAATGAGAAGGTGTGAGAGTAGCTGGCTGCACAGGAAGCTCAGTAAAGGGGAAGATCCAGTCTACCTTGGTCACCATGGTGTCCCAAAGCCCGTCATAGGCCCTGGCACACAGCGGGTGCTCAGGACAGCTTTGTAGTGTGAATGAATGAATGAATGAATGACAAGGAGAGGTGGAAGGAACAGGTGTTAATGGGTGTGATGAGGCAGGTCAGGGGCGGGGAGGAGTAAGGCTCAAGGTGAGAAAACAACCCAGATACGTTGTCAGGAGATGGGCTGAGGACTCACAAACTAAGGCACAAAGGTTTAGGGTATCTGAACAGAAAGCCCTTCTCCTGTTGCTGAGGACCCATTCAACAAGATATAATACACTCACATACCTATAGACTCTGGTCCGTGATTTCTAAAACATTTAATAGCAGGCAAAATGGTACCGTATATTAAGTGCAAAATTACTATTCTAAAAGAGAATTCATGGTACAAAGCAAGTTCTTTAAGAAATCATACATGCATACACAGGCCTGGAAAAATTTGGAAGGAACATGTCTTCAGTGCCAGGGGTTGGTTTTCTCTGGAGGTGGGACTTTTAGTTATCATTCACTAAGCTAAGGAGAATTAATTTCCTTCTTTGTGCTCTCCTTACTTCTCAAGTTCCCTCCAGCAATCATACATCCCTTTGGAAGGATGAAGAGGCTACTTGTGGAGCAAGAGGCTTTCTGGGTGAAAGGCCAGCGACTCTGCTGAGATCACAGAAGAGAAGCAGTTCAGGGGGTGAAAGCCCACGTGGCAAGCAGCTTGCATGTGAGGCTCCAGAAAGTGACAGGAACAAAGCAGATGGGAAAGAGGAAGTGGTCCTTATTCCCTGACTCAGGCACATAAAAGCTGGGCTGACCTCTACCCAGGAGCTGGAAGTGAGTGTGAGACCCTGTCCCCCGTTTCCTGCAGCACACACCAGCTCCTCCTGCAGCTGTGGACAGAGTAACCCATCTCGCACCCAGACCTCCCTGCAGCCCAAAGGCTTTGACAACAATGGACAATGACTGTGCTGAGAATCCTCCTCTCGCGGGATCATGGACTCCTGGCACAGGAAGGAAACTTGAGTTTCTCTGTCCCTCTGTTCCTGTGTGTGCACATATGCATGTGTGCTTGTGTGCTTGAGTGTGCATACATGCTTCTGTGTGTGTGTGTGTGTGTGTGTGAGAGAGAGAGAGAGAGAGAGAGAGAGAGAGAGAGAGAGAGACTAAGCGGTTGAACCCCGGAATCCTCTACCACTGAGTTCCTTTTTAAATTTTTTTTAAATTTTGAGACAGGGTCTTGCTAAGTTGACATGGAGTTCATATTAGAGATCCTCCTGCTTCAGTCCTCCTGGGTGTCTGGATTATAGGTGTGTGTCATCACATCTAGGTCCTGTACTTCTTTGATCTCTCCGGCGTTTATTAAGCACCTATTTACTGAGTGCCAGACACGGTTCCAGGGGCCCCACACATGTCCTCTAACAACCTGAGCTCAAAAGAAAATGGGATTACAGGATGCTTGGAGCTTCCTGTGGCGTCTGTTGAGGCTAGAGGTATTAAAGAGCACATTAAACCAGGCATAGCATACTTAGCAATTTAGTGAGACCCTATCTCAATATTTTAAAAAGGGCTGGAGATATAGCTCAGTGCAAAGACCCTGGATTCACTCTCCAGTACCACAAAAAAGTAAAATAAAATAATAAAACAAAACAAAACAGGCTTTCTGGGTGAAAGGGCATCACAGAGTCTGCGGAGATCACAGAACGGAAGCAGTCCAGGCGGGGAAACCCTACGTGGCGAGCAGCATCCATGTGCGGCTCCAGAAAGGGGCAGAAACAAAGCAGATGGGAAAGAGGAAGTGGTCCTCGTTCTCGGCATCAGGTGCGCAAACCCAACAGATACTGATCATCACCCCTGGCCTTTAGGAAGGCACAGACTGCTGCAGGGGCAGTCAGGGAAGCCAGCAATGGCAATCTATTTCCAACAGGGCTGTGACAGCTGAGGTGCAGAGGTACATGCAGGAAGGGCCCGCAAACACTCTTAGGGGGGCAATCAGAAAGAAGGTCTCAGAGGAGACGAAGGCTTAGGTCAGCACTTGGGATCGGAAGGAATGAGCCAAAAAGAGGACATGGGAGGCATTCCAGGGGCCAGAGCAAGCGCAGGAGAGGCTGAGGCTGAGGCTGTGGCTCCTGCTGGGTGATGAATAGTCACAGGAAGGGTCTTCCTTAACCACCTATGGTGGCGCATGCCTATAATCCCAGAACTCGGGAGGCTGAGGCAGGAAGATCATGCTTTTGAGGCCAAGCTGGGCAATGTAGCAAAAATTTGTCTCAAAGAAGAAAGGAAGGGGCCTTGCAGGGTCCAGAAGTAGGGTGAGGGGAAGTGAGCAAGGCCAGACAGGGGGCCTGACAGTCCTTAGGAGCTGCATTCTGAAGGTGTGGGAAGCCATGCACAAGTTTTAAACAGAAGAGGGCACTGCCCCGTGGGACAACACCCTGAGCCCCCGCAGGAAAGGCCTCCCCCTCCCAGAGCCACCCCCAGAAACACCTGCCCTGGAGCCTGCCCCTAGCATCAGCCCTAGGTGCCCTCAGTACCCACTCTGAGGACCCAGGACAGAGTGTTGTGGATGAGATGCTGTGGTTAGGGACAAACCAGGGACAGAGGGCCTCAGAGCTCACTTACCTTTGACCTCCTTCTGCAATATCTTCCAGGTCAGCAGCGAGAGCCCCATCAACAGAAGCAACAGAACACCCAGCAAGGACAGCAGCACAGGGAGCCTGGTGGGGAGGTGGGCAAGGTGAGGGGGCATCAGCCTTCCCAGACTTTTGTTTCATTAATTAATTAATTAATTAATTGTGCCTGGGGATTACACTGCAGGCCTGGTCCGTGCTAGGCAAATTCTCTACTGCTGAGCAACATTCCCAATGCTCCCCTGACTTTTCCTTTTTTTTTTTTTTTTTGAGAGAGGGTTTTGCTGTGTAGCTCAGACTGGCCTTGAACTCGCTGTGATCTTCCTGCCTCAGCCTCCCAAGTGTGAGGATTACAGACGTGCACCACCACATCTGGTCCTTCCTTGACTTTTCAGTTACATAAGTCAAGTTTTTGAGAAAGGCAAACAGTATAATGTATCCCTTCTACACTTCCCATCCACGCATCCTCCAGTTCCTCCCACATACACACAGTATACTTAACACTAGGCACTTTATTCACAGACAAGCAAACAAGAATGTACAGGGTGGGGATGCAGCTCGGTGGTACAGCATCTGCCTAGCATTGCCAAGTGTACTAGGCCCTGCTTTCCATCCCTAGCACCACAAAAAGAAAAAAAATGGTAGTGGACACATATGAATGTATAGTATTTCCCTTCTTTCTTCACACAAAGGAGGCAATGCTATTCTGGTTTGACGTCTTAGAAGTCTTTCAGTGCGTAGGGAAGTGCTCTTCTTCAGCTGCATAGTATTCTGTCGCACAGATAGACTGTGATTCCTGCGACCCCTTCTCACTGGCATTTCCCTCATTCTCTGTGTGATTACAGACACTGCTGGGATAAATCATTCCATAGCTCTGCTATTCCACGCGTGGACAAGCAGCAGCAGATTCACAGTAGACCTCTTCTTCCATGCCTGAGTTTGTATCTGTAGTTTCCTGTCTTTTTTACTTTTTAAACATTTGATTGATTGATTGATTATTTATTGCAGTGCTGAGGAGCAAACCTAGGGCCTTGTCATTGCTGGCCAAGGTGTCTGTCACTGAGTGACACCCCAGCCCTCATCTTCTCTTAAAGATGCCCCCCCCAACACACACGTATACAATTTGCAGAAGCTTCAGGCTCTAGCAAAGCTGAGCTCTGGCTCCTGTGTGTACCTGCAGGGTGAATTTCTGCAAGAGGCATGCTTCGAGTCTGAATTTTGCATTCTCCAGTGTCAACATGGTGACTCTGCATTGGCAGGAAGCATGCAGAGGGGCTTCAAAGTATGGAGAAGTGAAAATATGACTGGCCCTTGTCCTGGGGTCTGGGAGAGAGCCCCAAGTGATGGGAGCACTTTTGCTGTTCCTGGATCAACTTGACCGCTCAGAGATGACGGATGGGGCTGCTCAATGGAAACACCATATATTATAGACTCTAACCAGCTCAACCTCCAGGGGAGAGTAGGGCTGGAGACCAAGTTTAATCACATGGCCAGTGATGCAACCAGTCCACCTGTGCTGTGAAACCCCAGTAAGACCCTGGACAGAGAAGATGAGACAGACACATGGAGGTCCCACGTGGACTCTGGGACTCTCCCAGACCTTGGGCTGCCTATGTCTTTATTTGGTTGGTCCTGATCTTCATCCTTTATGATAAAACCGTAAGGTGGCGCTTTGTAGAATTTTGAGTCTAGTGAATTACTGAACCCAAGGGAAGAATGTGTACCCCCAAATTTGTAGCCATTGGTCAGAAATGCAGTGACTTGGGCCTCCCCAAAGAGCAGTGGCATCTTCACAAGGAAGTTTTGCTGTGTCCAGAATCTTTAACCTATGGGGCCTGTCCTAACTCCCAGCAGTCAGTGCCATGGTCAAACTGCAATGCCCCAGGAACTCAAAGGAGGAATCTGAACCCCCAAAATCATTTATGACTGTGTGCATTTTTTTCTAGGGAGAGTCTCTAGGTGTCAGCCACTCTGGTGGTTTGGTGACCCCTATAAAAATTGAGAACCACTGCCTAATGGGGGAACCCAAGACTTTGGGGTCACATTACCCTAAGCCCAGCCCTTTTTCCTGTAGCTTTGTGACCAGATAATTGTTTAACCTTTGAGCCTCAGTTTATTCATCTGTAAAATGAGCATGGTAATAGTTCAGCAGCTTCACTTCTCAGGGCTGTCATGGAGAATATTCACGGCAGGATGTTCCCAGCCCCATTCATTGCTGATTTCCTTTCATTCCCTCTGCTTCCCAATTCCCCCTTGCCTGTACCCTCTCTTTTAGCCTGGGACAGGCTCAGGGTGGCCTCAGTGACCCCAGCTAGGATGCGCAGAGTGCAGTTTCCAACATGGGCCTGGGACAAAGGGCACAGGAAGTCCCATCCAGCAGGCGTGTACCTTGTACCCCCAATACCCCTGAGCCCTGAGTCCTTCCTGAGGAGAAGATTCCCCTTCCAGGTCACAGACGGGATGGCCGTACCTTGAGTCCTGGACAACTTGCTGGTTCTCCTGGCTGCTGGAGGTGTGAGTGGTATTCCTCTGGCTGGTAAAAGATATGGCTGGGACTTTGGCTGTGGTTGTTGAAGTCCTGGCTATGATGTAACTTGTAGGTTTCTCTGAAGTTGCTGCTGGGGCAAAACCACAACTTAGATTCAAAGATCTCTTCTCCCACTCTCCTGCTACTGGCCAATGCCTTTTGATTTGACTTCATACTAATTACTCAGAAAGAGGACAGGAGGGGGATTCCAGGGCCAAATTCTTCCCGGGACTCTCCCAAGGCAAAAGAGCATTTGCCAAGGGGAAATAGGATCTGCCCCAAACCATTCCCATTCTGTGTGGTTGGTGGGGCAGGGCCCCTCCAAGAGCCCCTGAGTCAGCTCCCCCTGCCTGGTCTGGTCTCCACCCAGCATAGCCAGGTGCTCAAGGAGGTGTTTGTCTAACCACAATGCGGATGTGTCACTTGTCCAAGCTCCCTCTGCATGCAGCACTGTCACCACCTGGCCCTCACCCGGCCCTCTGCTCAGCCCCTACCTCCCTCCGAGCAGCTCTGTTTTCCTGGGGCTCAGCTTTGCACACTCTGCTCTCCACCCCCTGTCACCTGATGTCACCTTCCCTCAAGACTGTTCCAGACTGCCAGCTACTCCAGGGTGCTCCCTCTGGCCCTGGACCTGTCTCTCTCTCCCTGTCCCTGTCCCTCCCTGCCCACAGTCCCTGCGCACTCACTCAGAGTTTGTTCCTACTCTCTGATCTGACTCCTGCCCTAGTTATTCCCATCTGAGCCTTTTAGGGCAATGCTAGGGCTGGGGTAAGAAACTCACCTGGGAGAACAGACACTATAACATCGACGGTGGGATCTTTTTGCCACGATACATCAACCCCACACTGGTAGGAGCCTGTGTCCTGCAGGGTGAGGTTCTCCAAGGTCACCGTGAAGCTGAGGTTGGCGGGATGGTCCCTGATGGTCACTCGGCCCCGCCTCACTACTCTCATTGAGCCTTTAGTCTCCACAATATGGTCACATAGTACCATAAATGATTCTCTGCACCAGTACTTGTTACGTGTCCTGTCTTCCTCGTCATACCAGCACCGCACACTTAGGGATTCCCCCACGGTGCCAATCACAATGCTAGGACCGCTCAGGAGAAGACAGCCTGGAAAACACAAGTTTCTGGTCTCTTACAGTTGAGTAGGATCAGTGTACCCCCTGGGGGTCAGATCCTCCAAAAGACCCCCCATTCCACCTCATATCAGTCCCCACCAGCCAGGTCACCCCTCACCACCTTCCCCTTCTTCTCTCTTCCTCTATCCGACTCCTCCTATCCCTCTCAGTGACCAGGCCTCCTGCTTCCAAACTTTCCAGGACCATGAACAGTTGAGCTCCTACTCTCTGAGCTCCTACTCTCCCAGGAAGGTGACCCTTGCCCTGGGCATCTCTGTATGTGGAGAGCAGCCATCTACCCCTCTGGTCCCACCTTGGGATGTGAGGCAGGGCAGAAGGAAGGTCAGCAGACCACTGAGATGAGAATACTGTATATTATGGTTCCCCCCCCAAAGCCTCATGCAGTCATAGGGCTTTTTCAGAGGTGGTGGATCTAGAGTACGTGATGCTGGGATTAAGGGTGTGTGATTAGGAAATCAGTCCACTGATTGGTTTGGCATAGTTCTGGCTAAGATTAAGGATGTACACCTGTCCTAGGGAGGGTAGCCTGCATACTATATAAAGGACAGAAAGAGTCTGGTCTTCTCCTCTTGTTGGTTTTGCTGTTTTCTACCACCATAAATTGTTGCCCCTCTACCATGCGTCCACCTGCCTTGGAGCTAGCAGATTATGGACTGAAACCTCTACAAACTGCGAGTTAAATAAACTTTTTCTCCCTCTATCTTTGGGCATGGGGTATTTTGCCTCAGTAATGAGAAAAGTAACTAAGACACTGCACATTCAGTGAGTGTTTGGGGATCAAAATGCATGCAGCGTAAGACTCGTGACAACCTTCATGGTGTCTTGTCCTGTGTAGTCTGCCCAGCTCTGGCAGATTAATTTTTAAGGAAGCATATTTTTTATTCCCAAGATTTATGTCCCCCACTTTCCCAGATGGATCTCAGACACAAAGCTGAGGGTGTCAGCACAAAGCAGACGCTGCCACCAAGCAGAAGGCAGAGCACCTCCCTCAACCCCTCAGTGACGCTGTGATCTCAAGGGGATGCTGAGTCCGGGGATGACTTGCTCTTCTTACTAAGGGGTAGAACACTTTCATTTCACTGAGATTTTTAGATTCTTAACTCTCACTTAAAACTCGGACCACTCAAATGCCCACCCAGTCCTGTCTCTCAGGTTTGCTCTCCCAGGTCCTTGAATCCTCAAATCAAGAAAAAGAAGAGGGGTGAGGGGAAAAGAGAAAACCCAAATACACAAATAAAAGAAAAATAACCACAGCAATTATCAAGTCAATATAAGCAAGTCTGGGGCCGGAGATATAGCTCAGTGGCACAAGCGCCTGCCTGGCAAGTGCAAGATCCTGAGTTTGACTCCTGGTATCTAAAAAAAAGAAGAAAGAAAACAAAACCCCAAAATATAAGTAAGTCTGTGAACCTGAATGAAACTGATGATTTTCTAGGTAAATACAAGTGACAAACATAGGCCCAGGATAGATGTATATGAAAATGTTGACTGATAACAAAATGAATTATAGGGGCTGGGGATTTAGCTCAGCGGCACAGTGCCTGCCTGGCAAGAGCAAGGTCGTGAGTTCAATTCCCGGCACTGGAAAAAAAAAAAAAACAACAAAAAAAAACAAGACCAAAAAAAAAAAATATTTTTTTTCCTCTCATCTTTGGGCTGGGGATTTAACTCAGCAGCACAGCACCTGCCTGGCAAGCACAAGGTTGAGTCCAGTTTCCGGTACTGGAAACCTCCCCACCCCCCAAAAAAAGTATTATAAAATTCTTTCCCTTCCAAAAAAGAGGGAGAGGTGCTTGCTTCAGCAGCACATATACAAAATGAAAGGGGGAAAGCAAAACTGAGTTTCACAGGTTACTGCTCTCAAGCCTTCAAAGGAATATACAATTCCAACCTATTCAAACTTTTGCAGAAAATATGAAATTAGGAGCTGGGGATTTAGCTCAGCGGCACAGCGCTTGCCCGGCAAGTGCAATGTCGTGAGTTCGATTCTTGGTACCGGAAAAAAACCAAAAAAAAAAAAAAAAAAAAAAAGAAAAAAGAAAATATGAAATTAGAGAAAGCTCCGTAATTCTTTTCATGAAGTCAGCATAATATGTTGAGATGAATCTGGCCAAAGTGCTTACTAAAATTCCCTACCTTGCTAATTCAAAGGAGAAAAAAAAGAACCTCCATAGATAAGGACAAACTATCTGACACTTTGTTGTAGTTGTCTTTTAAATGCTTGTGGAAAGGAAGATTAAAAGTGGCAGAGCACAGACAGGCAGCAAAATACAGCCTCTCTGGGACATGAAATCGAGAAACCTGGAAAACAACCACTTGGTGAAGAGAAAAAGAAGTTGATCTCGGGGAATCAGGAGGGAGGCGACAAGAAGACTAAAAACTACAGAGCACAATGCAGAAGAAAGAAGGAAGCAGTCTGGAAAGCTGACCCTTTCCCGGCGAGGGCACCGGTCTCTCCTGACACAGCCCTGCTGTTATGGTTTGTGTCTGGATGTCCCCTCAAATCCTCATGCAGTTATGGGGTGGGCTTCTAGAGCTTATGATTGATTCATGGTCCAATGCTGGAATTGTGGAGGTGAGGGCTACACCCACCCTGGGGCAGGTAGTTTGCATACAGTGTAAGGGAGGGAAAGAGGCTTGCTCTTCCAGCTGCTGCTCTTCCCTTCTTGCTTTTGTTGCTTTGCTGTTTTCCATGGCCATGAACAATTGCCCTGTGCCATGTGCCATTCTGCCTTGGAGCCAGCCAAGTATGGACCAAAACCTCCACAAACCGTGAGCTAAATAAACCTTTCATTCCTTAATATTGGGCGTCAGGTATTTTGTCTCAGCCATGAGAGAAAAGTAACAAAGACACCTGCTCTGGAAGCTCCAGGAAGAGACAGTAGAACAGGCCCGCAGCATTAGCCCCAAGAAAAGCTCATGACTATTGCAAACTGCAAAAACACCATGGGGTTTTGCGCTGTAAGTGCCTCCTTCCTTGGGGCAACCTAGAGTTGGCGAAGGAATCCGGTGTGGTGCTGATCATATTTAAGAAAGTTTAATCAGGAGCCATTTGGGGAAAGGCTTAGCTGTTTGAGACTGAGCCACAGAACAGCTACAGAATAACCATAGTGACTGGGAGGGAAATAGCCACAAGAGACAGTTGTGGAGAGGGTGCAGGCTAGACATAGACCCCTGTGAAGTTTAAGAAGGTCACAGGAGTTCCACCCTCTGAGCTGAGAAGTCACGTCTTTCACGAGTGGCTTTAGTGGGGGCTGGGTTTGAAAGTGCTGGCATTGAAGGGGCTGGGGATTTAGCTCAGCGGCAAAAGCGCCTGCCTGGCAAGCGCAAGGTCATGAGTTCGGTTCCCGGTACCAGAGAAAAACCAAAAA